CTGAAGTTTTCAAATATTAAATATTATTTTTTTAAATCACTAGGTTTAACAACAGTTATTTTAGTGCCTTATGTACTGGGTGAATGATTTGTGGTTTACAGTATATAAACAGTTAATTACAGATAAACACCTCGTGCAACTATATTGCCCTGTCAAACCAAAACACTGTAATATCAAAAACAGCATTTTGAGAAAAAGCTGTGCAAGGGATTTTTCGTATTTTTGTAATTTTTGAGATTAATAACATAAAAACATGCATTTAACTTATATTCTACGTTAGATATTAAATAAATCTATCTAGCCACTATAATTTTGGAAAATAGTCTATTTCTGTTGAAGAACGATTTTTTTTGTCCCTTTCCCTTCTTAACAGCCGACAGATTTTGGTTCTTATGTTTTTTTACAATTTTTTTATTAATTTAATTACAAAACAGTGTATTGAGCCTTGCAGTGTTTTGTTTGACGCGATAGTCTATATTATTATTATTAAAAATAAAACTGTGAAAAGTTTGTTATTAAGTTATTATCGTTTATTTCCAGTAGTTCCATGCACTCAGTTCCACGTTCCACAATCGTAATGTTAACATGTTGTATTTATTCCCATTAGTTCCATGTAATGTTAAACTATTATTTCGTCTGTTGAAAGGTAAAACCTAATAAGTGACATTTTCCACAGAAAGTTTTTAATTTATATAGCTATGGTAAGAAAATCTACGTGAAGCTCAATAACAAAAAAGCTATAAACTTGAGTTTTATCTGCAGAAAGATGATGAATTTCTTGCAAATGGTACATAATTTGGAGATTTTTTGTAGAAAATGTAACTTATGTGGTTGTACCTTTAAGCAGACGATTTCACCTATTGTTGGCACAAAGATGAAACACATAGAAAAAAATCTTTCGATCTGACTGGACTCGAATCTGTGTCTGTTGCCATGCGGGGCCACGGGGCACTTAATCAACTAACTTACAGATAGAGTCAGCAGAATTTACGAATTTCTTTACATGTTTGTTACAGATCTTTGTATTGGGTTTTTTAAACTAGTATACATATATGTCAAATTTCAAATCAATCTCTATGAGAAGTAATCAGTATCGGAATTGAGGAAGTTAATTTACCTAAAGTATGAACGTTTTATTAGTATGGACATAACCATTTTGTCATCAGTGATTATAAAACGTCTTTTTTATTGTTTATTTTCTAAACATTCCAAAATACAGGTTGTCAAATATTTATTTTTTAAATGACTAAAGTATTTAAATACGTCAGTACATATAGAAACACAACTACAACATTATGTTTTGAGATAATAATTTGTAGCGTAAAGAGTTTATACAAACTCAAATGGCTTTGGTTGATTCCGCATAACAGTGAAAGTGTTGAATCAATCGCTTTGGAAAAAATATATAGTAAAATTGAGGATATTCACTGATACGGTGTGAAAACACGATTCTCAAAAATTTTCGCGATAGAAAAAAAACAACCCTACCTCGAAATTTTACAAGGAAACCGTTGTATTCAATAGGTACTTTACACAATGATTTTTTAAATATCAATTAAACTAAATAGAACACGTATAGTATACGATATACATTTTTCAAATGGCTTTAATTTTGTTTGTAAAAAAATAAATTCTGAAATAAAGCCAGTGTTCCTGGCGCTCGGCCCAATCAAAATGAACCTTATTAGTACGGGAAAAGTTTGAATTCGAGGCGAGGTAATATAGACTCTTAATAGGAAATAATAATTTATTGCCAATATACTAAAATTTCAATAAATAATACGCATATAAATTACTAATGTAATCAGTTCTGATAAGTCCCGGGATTTGTTGAATGGAATGTCCGCGTTATTCTTCAGTTTAGCTATATTAACTCCTTCAATTCCAATCACTGGAAATAATCTATAGTACAGGGTGTCTCAAAAGAAATTTTATATTTAGTGGATTGATTAAAAAAAAAGGAAGCGGTATATAGAAAAAATGTTTATTTATTGTTAAAATACACTTTTTGGGAATTTATTTCTTAAAAATAATATCGTCTAAATGTAAACCCTCGCGTTGTTGGCACTCATTTAATCGAACAGTAAAATTACTTATGACTGCTCGACAGGTGGAGTCAGGGATGGCTGCCATTTCGTGACGGATATTTTCTTTCAAATGCGCCAGTGAAGTCGGTTTATTGGCGTAAACTTTAGATTTAAGATAACCCCATAGGAAAAGTCCATAGGGGTTAAATCTGGGCTACGTGGAGGCCAATTTATGTCACCTCTCCGGGAGATCAATTTTCCTGAGAAAATTTCACGAACACGTGGCAGAGACATATTGGACGTGTGTGAAGTTGCTCCGTCCTGTTGAAACCATGTTCTTTGGTTATAGTCAGGAAAGTTTTGCAGTTCAGGTACCAAGAAGTTGTCTAACATCTCCACATAACGCTCTGAATTCACTGTAACTGCACGCCCCATTTCGTCTTCAAAAAAGTAAGGGCCGATAATTCCTCGCGCCGACATGACAGCCCATACGGTCACTTTAGGCGAGTGTAGGGGTTTCTGATGTTTGCGTTTCGGATTCGTTGAACTCCAGTAGCGGCAGTTTTGCTTATTTACGTGGCCATTAAGATGAAAATGAGCTTCATCCGAAAACAAAATGTTGGTAAACGTTGAAAATCGCTCAATCACCTGATTTACGAAATTAAGCCTCTGACTGGCATCTTGGGGCTTTAATTCTTGCACCAATTGAATTTTGTAGGGGTGCAGCTTTAGATCTTTGTGCATAATGCGATGTAATGATGATCTATGCACATTTAAAGCACTCGCGCGCTTCCGAATTGAAAGGTTCGGGTCGTCACGAACAGACTGATTAACACTCTCCACGTTTTCTACCGTTCTTGATGACCTAGGTCGCCCGGATTTTGATTTATCCAGCGTTGTTCCAGTCTTTTCAAACTTTTTAACCCAATGTCGAATGAGAGGAAGGCTTGGCGCATCATTTAAGTGGCGAAAACCTCGAATACTGCAGAATTTTCTACGCGTGACAGTTGCCGAATCACCGTTCTTGTAAAACTCTCGTACGCACAACGCGCGGTCTGCTCCCGAGAAACGCTCCATAGCGACTGAATTCCCAAGAGCCAAGCTACCGATTGACATAACCCCCGCACCCCTCAGATACGCTGCGTTCACGCAGTAAGCTAAACAAATATAAAATTTCTTTTGAGACACCTTGTATAAAGCGACGGTGAACTCTATCACGGTAAGTAACAGTGTCGGTACTAATTTAAAGTATCTTACACAACACGAAAGTAAATTCGTTTAAAATTATTAATGTAGCAAATTGATTGATGAATTATGCAATTTGTAAAGTAGACCTTATTGGGTCGCAGTGGCACATCGCGTCAATAATCTTTTGTGGACCACAATGGCACTAGATAAGAGACCTCTGACTTATCAATTAAGCTCTATTAAGCAATACCACGAAACCACTTGCACAACGAAATAAAAAGCTACGCGTGAATTGTTTAAGACGGAGTGCGAGTATTTTGAAATGATTATTGAGTTAATACTCGCTAATAATTTACTTCGGCGGAAGAATGGAATTAAATAAGTAAGACTTCTCCTGTCTTATTAAATAGACACCAACGTCTTTCGAATGAATGAGGTCTTGAAATTAGTTAATTAAACAAATTATAGGCTTTTGAAATAATTTCGAGTTCTACGAGTTTCGCGATTGCTACACAATAATGGAATATGTATATATTAATGGAAATTAAATTATTTTTATGGATCTAAATCGGACATTTTGTTTTCTCAAACAAACCGAGATGTATCGGGATCTTTACGTGTTCCAGGACCACGGATGAGTAACAGACATATTGATGCCATATTTTGTTAAACACGTATCTTATAAACAGTGATTATTCAGGAGAAGGCAATAAAAGTTTCTATTTATTTTAAATTTCTTATCAAGGGTGTTAAAGTGGATGCATTACTTTAAGAGTAGGTAAAAGCCAGTGTGTGAATATGAAGGAAATGTGACGTGAAATTAACCTGCAAAAATTGTATATGCATTTTTTGCATTTCAGTTACTTTGTACGAGTTTGAGAAAGTAAGGCGACGCGACCTAATCGCATAATTAGGATCTGGAAATGCAGTTTTATTTCAAATTTTTAAATAAAAGTTTGTATATAATCATAGTTACATTTACTCACAATGCGTAACGACCAAGTAATTTGTGTTTTTTTTATATTTTTTTATTGTTCATAAACTATGGTTAAGTTAGAGCCACTAAGTGTTATTAAAAAAATATTTTGTAAGGTCTAACCTACAAAAGGATTTAACATAATATAGTAAGTAGATTGTTGTACGTTTTATTACATCCATTAATGGTACAAACAGTTTCATATCGGCATTACAAACAGGCGCTTAATTCATGAATACAGGAAGATTATTTTATTGTGTCTCTGGTTATTCAATCTTCACAGATTTTATGACCAATAACTTAAACATTCTAAGAATAGCCCTTGAGTAAATTATTAATGTTCTCGGCAACAGTTCACTTATGAAATAACGCAAAGGGATTCTTTGTTCCGGATCTTTAGCGAGGGAATGCGAATTCTCATACTCACTCCTTAGCTCAATGTAACAACAGAATATATTGAAAAAGTTACAGAGCAGTGACCCTGTTAATAAAATAATAAATAAGCACTGTTACACACCCTTTTTAATGTGTCTAGGCGTACAAAGTAGTCCCACAGACACTGTGTTATTAGCTGGGGTTACTCAGCTCATTATGCAGTGATGTGATTTTGATAAATGTAAAGGTGAGGCTCTCATGAATACGAAGCTGGATTTTGTTTGTGACATTATTGTGGGTCGTAGTGTTAACGGTTCCACGAAGCTGCGACACTGCGCGCGGCGCGGCCAGCTGCGATGCGAACTTAGTCCGTCGTAGGCTTGATACAGGCGCATGCGCCCTCAGTCGCCGTATGCTGCGCGCGCAGTACTCCAGTCGGTCCCAGCGCGACCCGTCATGCGCACTGCTTGTTACGCACCGCGCGCGCTCGACGAAACGAATTTATCGAAATATTCGAATCAATACGTTGACTAACGGTTTTTAAGGCAAATATAAGCGACAAAAACTGTGCAGTGCTAGTTTCAGTGCCGATACGACTGTCGAAACTGTTTTTATTTCATGTTTACTAATTTTACTTCTGTCGGCGTCCGCTAGATCGATAATTGTGTTAATCCCGATCGTTTTAATTAAGTGTGAGCGTTCCTTTAAAGGGTTAGTGCCGTGTGGTTGTATTAATTAAAGTGCGTGATTAATAAATTGGACCGCGACCTTTTTGTATATCTTATAGTTACAAGAAGTTAGTTATTGCAGTGTAATATAGTGTTGCTCTTATCTCGTGCTTTATTTTTAAATTAGTCGTAATTACGCTTTTCTGACTCACATCGGAGAAATAATTATCTTGAATTTAATTGACGTTATAATCTAGCACTTTAGAAATAATATAATAATCCATGCAGTAAATGTTTTATTTCTCGTTATTATATATTGCTTATACTCTAGACAAGAGACATAATGATAAGGTTACAGATGATCAGTGCCTCGATGCGCGTCGAAATCGATGTCACTATAAACCCAGTTTGTAATCCCAATAGCCAAGTTCAACTCTCACCGTTTGCCACTCTCGCGGCCACTTCACAACCTCAGAGGAGCTATTTCCATAGAGACCTACCGTGGGCAACTTTCCTTCGTATCTTAACTAATCTACATAAGTCGTTGCGAGAGAACTGCTCCTTAAACGACCACATAGGAACTTGAGCTCAGTAAATTCTGAAATACGCTGAGGTTATTTCTATTTCGAGAAATCGCTAGCAAGTTGCAACTTAGATGTAAAGCGAATATTTGTTTTTTGTTTGTTTTCGCTACAAGCCAATTGTGAGGTTGTGGGTGTTTGTCGGCGGGCCTGCGCTGTTGCCGTAGCGAGTAATCGGCAATAAATGCTAAAGCTTCAAGCTCCAGGCTTACATTTCACAAATTAACCCTAACTTCTTTGTTACCTTCGGAAGTAACAATTTTCACTCATCATTTGCATATTAACACATTTGTCTGTGTGGAAAGTATATGATTGTAGAAGCGATATTAAGAAAGCGAGTAAGGTGTGGTTTACGAGACATGGCCAAAGTAATATTTAAAACACGACCACATATTTCGAGCGTAACACATTCTTACTTAACGCCAGTTTCCCTTCTTCCGAACAATGTGATTTATTTAATGATAGTGTTTCTATGAGACGCGTGCGAGGTAGGAGTAAAGTGGTTGGTTATTTTCGTTCGTTGACCGTGCCCGGCTTATGTTTTTGTCACGGGCTTATTGGACCGCTTATGGTTAATTGTGACCAGCACCTATTACCACTTTTTGGAAAGATTTCGACTAGATTGCCAGAATATATAACTTACGAATATAAAATACCAACATTATTAAAAACTACTTTAATTGCTTCTAATGGTTAGAGCTCTACAGGGAACAATGATAATAAACCTGTAATAGTTTGTAAAGAAAAATGTTTATAGTTACAGTCCCTCATATAGGTTCTCGCAGTGTAAAGAATCATAAATATGTATTTTTATAATTAAAATTTTAAATAAAAGGCTTGCACAATGCATTGGTATTGTGAAGCAAATAGAGCCTTAGCCGCCTCCAGCATGCACGACCAAGATGCAAGCGCCCTGATTTTATTTTCATAGCTATATCCTATTTTATGATCCAACAACAGTGTGTAAGGGTACACTAAGCCAAGTTTGCTTTATTTCTAAAATAAAAAAACCTCGCCTATGTTTTAATGCAGTGCTCAAACGGTCACGAACCCGCATCTGTTATTATCAAGCCGCTATAACAATTTCAAAGTACTTACAAAATAATTGCGTTTTCGAAGCACGACTGTCTGCTATTGAGCTTTTTATACAGTTAAACATGTTAAAGAATTTGGGTGGATGCTAAATGCCGCATTATTGTTGTCAAAGATGCAGTAACGAGCAGTAATTTGAACAATGACTTCAATTGAATTAAAAAAAGTTGTCTCTTTAAGATGTACAGGCGACTGCGCACATTAGGATCATTAAAATTGTTGTCTGCGCTGTCTTTCGACAAAAGTTATGTCCAGCAGTAACATTTACATGCAAAATTGTGTTTACGAGGCATTGTCTTTGGAGCGTCCTGACCAACATTCGTATAGCATACAATGCTTTAACAAATGCCAATCTCTTTATTTAGCATACCCAAATAGCGATATCTTACTAGTTCTAACCCAAAACCGCCTAATTGTAGAACGTAAGACCATTAGTTAACGTTTGTAATTCCTAAATTCCATTAACATTTCTGGGCACTAATGGTGCGTTCAAAAACTTAAATAATCCGGTCCTAACGGCCTACACCGACACCGGTGAACTGTGTACAGTGTGTTCACGTTGGCAGATACGGGCCATGATTTAAATACGGACATAATGTCCAGTGTCGGTCATACCATCATCTGCCAGAGCTGATGAAATAAAAATATATTTAGTGAAATTTGACGTAGTATTTTAGTAGGCTTTTCTAAAGTTTGGTTTCTTTAAGAAAAAGCTAGTTATTAGAAGCGCACGACCAATGCAAGAATGCATCTAGAATTGCGGTAAATATCATCTGACCTAGTTTCAATCTTCTGTGCTTGGGGTTATGTTATCCAAATTAAGTAACTCTGTAACGGGCGATGGTATTAAGCCTATTATATAAGTTGTGCCTAATTTAGAATAAACTCAATTCATTAAAATAAACAAAGTTTAAATAACTATTCACAATACATTTTTTAATAGGTAGCACTGAAGAAGCTAAACAAAACCTCAGACTTATTAGCTTTATTAGTAATTATACATATATGCTGAGTCCTAGTAATATTTAAGCAGCTGCGACCGCCGACAGAAGTAAAAATACTCGTTTCCTTTAGTGAATAATGAAGATGTAATATGATGTTCTTATAGAACTAATTAAGGTAATTGATGAACATGTGAATGGAATGATTTTGATCAAATTCTAATTAAATCAGTGATGGTGTTGATTAGCGATGCCAGACTGGCGATACAACGTGCTATCTACGAGCGAGGCGTACATCAGCGCTGAGGCTGTGTCCCAGCCAGCGTGCGATCCCCTGGCCGCCAGCTACCCGCGCCGCGCAGACCGTTCCAGGCCTCCACATACCTGCCCTTACACAACTATATTCCTTGCTAACCGTGGCAATAATCCGCCCTGTCGCATACCCACCTTAAAAACCGATGGTGCAGATCCATACGGCGATGTTTACTCCGTGGATCGCTCTTCGAATCTCACCGATACTTCAAGTTTTGCTCGATATGAAGACTGTCGTTCCCAAGAAGACGAAAGTGTATTGTTGAATGATGAATTAATTAACGAAACGATATCGAACCCCAATATAAAGCTGCACGTACAAAAAGTGCCATATAGTACGTCTAGTGTATTTTACGTGACTGCGAAAAAGGATGTAACCAACAACGAGGTACAGGGAAATGATTTGTTTTTAGTGGAAGGATCAGATTCAGATGCGCTATCATCATGCACGTGCGATAGCTTTGAAAGGTGTGAATTCGATTGCAGAGATTTTGAACCATTCTCAGACACTTGTTGTTGCGACCCACTCAGTGATGGCATGTGTAGTCGCAGTCCAAAAGATGTTGATTCACCAGAGCACTTTTGCGATAAAGCGGCGGATGAAGATGGGTTATCCACCCGGAGTGATATGGACGGACTGGATCTAGCTCTATTCGAACCGGCGCAATCTGATTCAAATGGATGTGGATTTAAGACTTCGGGGCACAATACTGCGTCTGTTACAACTGCTTTATGTGGGATACTGTACGCCTTACCGGATACTAGTAAAGGTAAGCGAAATCTAGTCTGATTTTACTACAGTTAATTGTAGGCATCCCGGAAAAGACGGTATGATAACGCTCAATTACAGTGATTAGGAACAGCGGCAGCGTACCGTACTCGACAGCCGTGTGGTCTGCGTCAATAGCACTCGTATCCGATACAAACAACGGTGTACAACGAATTACTGTCGTATCAATCATAACACCACTAGCCGTCGATTGTCATACTTGCAATACTTGCAGGTAAGATAACGCTTAAATAATCGGAACATATGCTTGTTCTATCAGCTTATAGTACTGTTGTTGGTACGTAAGTTCTTATTAGATGATTTATAGCCTGGTAAATGAGGAGGCGCACTTTAGTCTTAAAGAAATTTCTATCAAAATCGTGACCACTCAAGGCGCTGGATAGGCAAGACATTATGGTGGCCCGGGTCATGACCGCAAACGGTAATGCGTTCACGTTTGACTTCGTTTGTTCTGCGGAAATTGCTGACAGTTGATTACTACCGGGTGAAATGATTCCGAGTGCACACAGAATAAAAACCATACTCTCGCTTTACACATACTGATTTTATTGGTGTAGTAGCGCTACAATTTGGGTACCGTATTCTTCGCAAGTTTCTAATTACCGGTAGAGATAGACAGCGATTGTTCGCTCGTATGCAAATCCAGTGGTTGCGGTAACGATAAGGCGGATACATAAAGATGGATGGCATGGTATGGACTATGTTAATAGATCAGCTTATTTGCTACAGTTGAAACGTTTATAACGGTCGTTTGACTTAAATAGCTAGCTACAAGAATTTTTCGTTTGCGAAGTGTACCTACAACGTGGGGCTAATTATTTCCGTGAGAACTAAAATGATTTAAGATACCGTACATCTTATAAAGTTGTTCTATAATAACTGGTATCTGATGGTCATTATGTCAGAATAACGTTATTTCGTGTTTTGTGTTTTCTACAAATATTTGGAACGGTTACGTTCATGAAAATCTCATTATAAGCGAATTTGCGTTTGTTAATATACTATTAATTGCTAATGAATTGAAACCACAGGGCACAATCAATTGTATAGCTCTTTAAAGAACTCATTAGAAATTATTACTAGTATCTGGTATATTCAGTAAACAAAATGTGTCACCTCATCACCTGTAATGATATCCTAGTTCAACTATTTATTTTGTAGGTAGCTAAGTTGATGATTATCTAAATAATAATAAATTAATTCGCAAGTGTATACTATTGGCATCTCCACTAAAACTCGGACGTTTTCAAGTTTTTTACTGGCTTTATTTTTGTCGAACTGCTTTGTAAACTGGTTAAGAGAATTGGAATTTGTAAGGAGGTCGAATATTTTCCTGTATTATAGCAAATTCATGAGGTTTCCGATTTCAAACAAACATAGGTATGCACATGTTGAAAAAGAATTACGATTTGCTATAGGCCGCGTGGCCGAACAATAAACATGCATTTTACACCAGGAAAGTTACAGGGTCAGAGGTTTGTTTTACGATGTTTTGTCGTGGTCACCGACTCATAGGGCTTGATTCACAGCTTAGCATGCTGTGATAACCTAAAACAAATATGTGAATATCAGGAAAGTTCTTGGTTTTTACCCGTGTTTCTTTACCCACTTATTTCGCATTAGTCGTACCAATGTGATTATTTGTAGTCATACTAGAATAATTTAATATAATAATAACGCACACACTCATAACCCTGCACTACTTAGGGAAACCCTGTGTCGTGGGTGCCATTGACACACATAAACAACCACGAATTACACCCAAACTCATTAAGAGAAATGGACCAGACCAGCATGGTAAACGTTCGGCCGTAAGGAGGAAGTTATTATAATAACGTTGGAGTACTACGTGCAGTTTTTAAAATTTTACGTTAACTTTACTTGCGCCTTTATTATAAACATATAGGGAGCAAATATTGAGAAAGACATATTTTAGCATAATGACAATATTCCAAGAAAAAATTGCGTACGCAGATTTTCATTTGTTTGCTTTAAAAAATCAAACAGTTGACAGTGGGCCGTGAGAGCGGCCATGGTCGGAGCGTCATCATAACACACACAATGTTTGCATACTCGGCAAAACAAGATTAAACATTGCATGTGGGTAAAAATATAAGAACAAAATTAACGTACTTTTATTTTTTGGAAATCATGTACCCTAGTTGAAACCAATAAATTGAACCGATGAAGCGCCATCGTTAGAAGTGGCTATTTCGCAAGGAATGTCGCCGCTCCTGTCTTTGACTTATCGCATATATTCCAATCAAAGCCGATGTTACCCTGCGCCAACTGGTTTCCATATTGGTTCTCTCTTTTAGTCGGATTAAAGTGATTTAATATTTATTTTTCGACTACTGCGCAACTTGATACAGGATATGACGATTAAATCGAGACAGACGATCGACAAAACTTACGACAACAATGTTATCGGTGATCAATCTGTGCATTGCAATAAAATAGATGGTCCATTTCTCTTGCTTGAACAGTAAGTGCCCGTACATTACCGAGTGAGGAGAGCAAAAACGTTATGACTTCTTAGCATCTGCAGGACCGGCGTAACTCACAGTAAGTTGTTTTCTTATGTCGAATTCGAAGTCACGGCAATAATGTTGAAAGCAGGCTAAACCTGATCAGGGCAAGTGAATCTTTCGTAGTGATGCAATGATGCGTTTATACTTTCTAATGAATGCCCTTCCTGTGGAACCTGCGCAGTGAGTTCATTTGCAGGAAGACGTTTGCGTGAGCATTTAGCGCTTACAACTTACAACAACGCGGATGAAGCAAGTGAATGTTCCAATTATATTGATCGCTATTGTGCAAATAGTGTTTATACATTTGATAAATTTGAAAGGTTCATATCTATGCACATAAATTACCCACTTTAATGTGGGTTAGAGTGCAAATTGTAGAATAGATGAAAGTGCGATGTAATATGGAAATTAATAAATGAACTGTGAATGAAACCTTAGCTTCTAGGATGACAAATTAATTTTAATAAAAACATTACAGTCATCATTATCACGCCTTGAATACATTATCACGATATTATTCCACGTTAAAATTTAATTTACTATTTTCAGTTTTATTTAGTGTTATTGTACTTTACACTCGTTAAACTTAAACAGATTTGCCTGAGGGTTATCAACTCCTCTTACATATGGCGATACAATAGCAAAAAACTAAGCTATTGAACGGTAATAATCTTATATTAAGTACGAACTCTGAAATTATTTTGTCAAGTTTGGAAATGCTAGCCAGAAAGGTACATTGAAATGATTGAAATAAGTTCATTGTTATCAATATTTTGAAGTGCTGACTGAGCAGTGATTGCAAGCTTCCAGGACAAGCGCAGGCGCAATTGCGCGTAATAACGCAATTTGTGAGAGACACAATACGGACACGGAATTGAGTTTACGGTACCTAATTACTAATATGTCGTACTGATTCTTCACTTGCTGATGCGTTATCAGACATGCCAGCTGTGTTTTGTAATAGACCTATCAGTGAATACTACAACAGTAGATGGCTAGAAAAGAAAGATTGAAACATTTTTTAACTTGCAGCTATATTTGTAGTAAGCATAGTTCGAATTCCTGTGACGGCATATATCTATGACTTTGATTTCTATGTTACGTACGTTTACGAATGCTTAGCAGCTGTACCTTCTGCTAATGGTAAAGGAAAACATCTATCTCATCTCAATTTTTCGTAAATCTTATAGTTTTCGTAATTTAAATTCTTTTTGCTCTTTAGTTAGCTGTGTCACCTCTATGTTCTAAATATTTTTTTAACAATGACAATAGCGAAACTTGTAAAATAATCTGACTGGAAAACGTATGTATGGTAGTTCAGAGGCAAAATGAACTTATTGGCCTATTGGCGACGATAAGCTCGCATCTAAACTTCAAAATTTAGCCCATTGGCCAAAAGTTGCCTGTCTTTTAGGTTTCTACAGAATATACTTCGGTGAGTGTGCCCAAAAGCTCCAGTTCATTCCGGCCGCCCCTTTTACCAAGGGACATCTAGACGTACGGCGGGATATCATCCTACTTGATCGATATTCCTTTCAGGACTACCAAGCGCTTTTCGTCATCGACTCTTGCGACGGTGTTTTCGAGCACATACAACCCGGGTGCGATTGAGTAGACATCTTCTGGGCGAACTCGTTCCATTGTAGATACTATCTTTGCACCAGGGCCAGATAGTGATCAAGAGTAAGTTCTGTTACTTTAAAAATAAAACTTAATGGTATTACTTAATTCGTAAGGTCGCTGGTTCGAGTCCAGCCGGATCGAAGGAGTTTTTCTTTGTGTTTGATCTTTATATTAATAATTATAACAAAAGCAGTAAAACTTAATATTTTAAAATATTCTGTACACCCGTCAGGCCAGCTACATGAGTTACTGTAAGAGCGGTTACACAAGGCGACTTTTAACAGCGATACAAAAGCGATGCAAACCCTCGACTGCATCGATAAGAACGCGCGTGTGTCGCTACACTTGGGATTTATTGGCGATTGCATAGATGCAATCGCGCGTTTGTATCGATGCAATTGCGCGTTTGTATCGATGCAGTCGCGCGTTTCCATCGATGCAATCGCCTATATATCGCAAGTGTAGCGATGCAATCGTGCGTTTCACGAACGTTCGTTTGCATCGCCGCTTAAAATCGCAGTGTGTAACCACTCTAAGGATCGTATTCCAGAACTCTACTCAATGCTCAAGTCAGGATTTGAGCAGACTTGAGTATGATTTCAAGCACTGGAAATACGACCCTAATGGCAAGGACTTGAGTATGATTTTCAGTGCTCACTGCAATACTCAAGCCTGACTTGAGTATTGAGTAGAGTTCTGGAATACGACCCTGAGACATAATTCTCTGTGACTAAATCCACAGCTAGCGACTACTATTAAGATCTTAGTGATATAAATACTATTATCGTAATTCGAAATAAATGCGGAACTATACAATTACGCGACC